TATAAAGTAATAAATATACTATAATTCGATACAATTTTATAAATTCAGAAGTACCTGGTATACAATACTAAGTGAGAATTATTGACTATACATACTAATAATAAGTGCTACATGTAATAAAATTATGAGAGTTTCATCATTTATCTTATTATAATGTTTTATTATGACAATTAATTTATTAAAGATAGCATGCGAGAATATTTGCATTTTTTCAACCGTATAACAAGCAAAAATTGAAATTTGACAAATTTTTGACATATGCATTTAATGTTGTCAACATATGAAAGACAAAAACGCCGTGTAATGTGATTATTTAGAACTATCATGTAATATAGTACCACAGACGAGGTATAGGATACTTTTATAGATCATATATCGTTTGTTTAAGGTGGACGGCTTTTCTCATCAAATATGAATTCTACAAAGTGATCCTGATTTGTAACAATTGACAATCAGGTTGTTTAATTGCAATTCCTACCATCTTAGTAGCGCTATAACATTATTCCATTCTGAATCGATAACGTCGCATGTGACAAGAGAATGGTAACGGGGCTTTGTAGCTCCGGACCGTGTGACACGAATTTACATTGGATGATAGGTCTATCTTATACCACGTCTGTGGTAGTACACAGTTATTGTTGAATCCAGTATTTAACAGTTATCGACGGGGCAGACTGGAAATTGGAGTGACTGAGGACGAGCAGAATCTTTAGCATTTTGTGAATTAATACATGATCGGGTCATGGCGTATGTTAATGTGGCTGAATGGAAAACTGAGCAAGTGTGCGAATGGTTAAAAGGTGCGAAAAATCGAATTTCCTTTGGAATCAGTGTATCTATTGGTGTATCTTAAAAAGCCAGTGAATTTTATTATTTGCAGAAAGTGTTGTGAAAATTTGCGTGTGAAAATCCTCTTGCTGTATACGCCCACACCTCTCTCCTCGCTCCCTCTTTCCATTTAATCAGTCACATCATTGCATGTGTAAAACAGTGTTGATTTGTTCAATTATTCGTTAGAATCACACAATTGTAGAGGATGTATCATTTCGAAAGAAATTTTCAATCATAATTAGCCTGTCTTTTTCAAGAAATGCTTCATAAATCCAATAACTCTACTTTTATAATTTTTATTTTGTTAATAGTTATCAAGACTATTGTTTACATAATTTCATTATTATTTTTTTCATTGTGATTGTTTTCCGAACAAATGAGTCTTTTAAAAATCTATTTGTTTAAGTAGAAAATTCTGCAAATTGTAAATTATTGGTCATTACAGAAACAAAAATGAATATTTATTCCCATAATTTAATATTTCTTTCATAGTGGCTTTATTTGAATTTATTCATATATCACTCACAATAACATTGCAATATGATTTTTAACATTTTTTTAATATAATGCAATATTTCGAATGATTTTTATTTTAGGCTTGGATAATTCTGTACTTCCTTATGTGCATAGTTTTACAAATCATGGTGTCAGTGGACAACAGTTATTAAGTTTAAGACCTGAAGATTTAGAGCACCTTGGTGTGTTGAAACTTGGTCATCAAGAAATTATTCTTGAAGCTGTAGAATATTTGAGAAATTTTCATTATGAACTTGATCGTGAAAATTTACAATTATTGGCATTACGGTTATCTTGTCAAGCACATAGTTTACAAAATGAATTATCTCGTCAGACAGATTCTAAACCTGTTACAACCCAAACGTTATCTGATGTAGCATCAGTTATAATGGCTGTAAAACCATTAGTAAGGTGGCTTGATCGTCCTCCTTTTAGTGGACAATTAGAATATAATGAAAAGAAAGCTGAACTAATGAAACTAGCTTTGGAAATGGCTACATGTGCACAAAGAGATAGATTTGCAGAAAAGCCAATAGAAGAAATTAGAACAATTTGTGGACAATTAGCAAAATTGGCAGATTATATAATACAGGATATTACTGATCCTATGATATTGCAACCTGCTAGTTTAGATTTGGCAACATTAAAAAAGAAACCAGGAGATGATTTAGTAAGTTTGAAAATAATTTTATTCAACATAAAATAAACCTTTATTTTACTTTTCTAATGTTTAAATTAAATTATGGTAAAAGTAACGATAGAAAGTATAAAGTATATGATAGAAATTGTAGAATATTATGCTTTATAATCATTGGGGGAAAAATTATCTGCTACATCCTTTAGTGATAAAACTACAACCATTGATTTAACACAACTCTAACTTCCTGTTTAGATAGTAGTTTTATACTATGCAATAAGAATGTTATGAAAGAATAATTTTTGTAGTAAATATAAAAGATTTAAATGGAAAAGTATCTTTTGTAGGGATTTTATATTTTACCATCTTTTCACGGAGCTCATCAAATAGCTGAAATTAAATTTGGATCAGCTGCACATCAATGTGGTAAAATGGAAGAGGGAGATGAAATTGTTCAGGTACTTCTTATTTCTCAATTTAATTTTTGCTTGTTAGAAATTTAAATACTTAATTTAAATATTTTTCAGGTAAATTATCAAACTGTAGTTGGTTGGGAAAGAAAAAATCTTTTAGAGTTGTTTCGTGAAAGTCCAGCAGAAATACTATTAACTTTGAAGCGTAGACCAAGACATACAAAAGTATATGGTCAAATTTACATAAAACCATATCGACTTCCAAGCAATAAAAAAACATCTTATACAACACGATGGCAACACAATCTTCCATCACCAAGACCAGAATTACTAACTATACCAGATTTTACAATGCCATTGCCAAGGTATTATTTCATTTATATTTGCATAAAAATATAAAATCTAGTTTTTTAATGGAAATGAATTTAATAGTTAATTGTAATGCAATACTAATTTTTCAATTTATTTAGGCCAAAGAATCCCAGTCCAGAACCTGCAAGTATTTTAGATACTGTTAATATATTAGACACAATGATCATAGATAGTAGTGATTCAGATAGTGAAACAGAACCACCTTTATCCATTCGATTATATTCAACAAAACCAAGAAATTCAGTTCAAAGACGAGCTACTATAACTGGTGCTAGTCCTACAACTAAGCATGGAATTGATATTGAACAATTTTGGAAAGAATTAAAACAAGAACACAGTACAACTTCTCAGTTGCGGGATAAAGCAGTATCTTGTGCTCATGGCTTAGACAATGTACCATCAAATATAAGGTCACAAACGTGTATAAGTATAGAACAAAGCAAAAGAAAAAAAAGAAATGACGGACAAACTGACGATAAGAAAGTACAGTTTCAAGATAAATCTATGAAACATGATGTTCCTCAAATAGATAATACAATCAATGTAATACATGAGAAAAAAGATGAATGCAAAGCTACTCAAAATTGTGAGGAACTGTTAACTACTAGTAGTATAAATACTTCCAGCCAAACTTCTCAAACATTTGCTAATGTTACCAATAACAATAACGTAAGTGATACACGTGTGCCTTTAGATGAATGCAACAATTTTATTAGAGATAAACATAGTAATAATAGAAGTATGCTAAGCAGTAAAGAATCTAGTATATGCAGCGGTAAAGAGCGAGGAAGATTAGATAAAAGTTACAGTACACCAGCATACGATTCAATGGACGCTGACAATATGGAAGACCGAAGACAAAAGTTATTTTATGCGTTAGAATCGTCTGCAAATAATGTAAGCAATGTATCTACTAAGACTGATGTTCAACTAACATTAACAAATTCTGAAGAGAAACAAACATTGAAAGATGTTGGTAATCAAAAACAAAATATTCAAGTGAATTTTGATAGTAATATTGTTCAAAAAGTTAGCAGCAATATTGATAAAAATACTGTGCAAAATAACAAAGAAAAACAATATTCTGAACCACCCGAATATTCAGATTCTCTTAAACCTTCAGTGTACAAGGTAGCTGATGTAAGTCACAAAACCAGTATAGAAAATGACCAAAGCAATAATGAGTCTATTATCACCGATGTAAATAAACATGAGAAAAAAAATGTAACGAACAATTTAAATGTTGAAGCGGAAACTGTATCAAACACGTATAATACGCAAAATTTTGTAAATAATCCAAATTTGAATTATGAAATTAATGAAGATAAATTAGAGTCAACAAATAACTGTGTACAAAACAACAGTGAAAATAACGCAAGTCTAAATAAATTTGAAAAGATTCTTCAAACATTTAATTCTAGTATGTCAGAACACATAAAATTACTGGACAAAAAATCTAATATATCAGTGAAAGAAAAAACGCAAGATCAAGGACAATTATGGACAAATAATGATGTAAATTCTACTGAAGATAATATACAGAATGTTACTCGAAACATTTCTCAAATTCAGATCTGTCAGAAGATACAAAATGATAACATAAAAACTGATGATTTAATTAATCAAGGAAATGTAACACAGTCTTGCAAGTACGTAGAACTAACAAAAGCTGAATCAAGTAAGAAGCTAGAAACTAAACCTCATCTAATACCTCCAGATCCCCCTCCACGTAAATACTATTCAAAATTAACAGCAAACTCATCTTTAAATAATACTTCAAGGGTATTTGAAGATCAAGAAAAATACTATGCATCAGAAAGATCTAATGCTAGAAAAGAATTAAAAAGTGCAGAATATTGTACGGAAAATCATATCAAAAGTAATTTGAATCATCAAGAGAAACAAGATTATTTTGATGCTTGTAATAGTTTTACAGAAAGATTAGAATTTATTGATGATAAGAATACTGTATGTAATGAATGCAGACCTAGTTTAAATATGGATTCTTCATACTTAGAATACAATGATAAGCAAATAAAAGAAAATAAGTCTATCTGTGATAAGTATGAATCTGCTAGTGAGAAGTCTATTTACACTAATTCAACAGTGGAATATCACGATGCTGAATCTTATTCACAAACTATGGATTCTCCAGATGGTTCATGCTCCTCAAAGCAATTTCTAGAACATAAATCTAAAGTATCTGAGAAGGAAAAAAGTTTTGAAAAAGGTGTAGTTATTAAAGCTATAATGGTAGCCAGAAGTATTGGACTACATGGAAGTTTAAGTAAATCTTCCAGTAGCAGCCCCAGAAGTAATAGAAAACGAAGCATATTATTTGCAAGTAAGTAATTAATATGTAAACAGTGCACATTAATTTTTAAATGTTTATGGTTATTAAATTTTGTGTTATTTGTTAATTAGGGAAAAGAAATATCTCTGTTAAAGATATAGGCACAGCAGATTTAGAGGGATGGTTAACATATCGCACAAGAGGTGCAGGTGGTGCTTGGGCGACAGCTTGGTTTGTTTTAAAATGTTCTTCTTTGTACAGGTTCGCTAAATAAATTTATATATATACACACACGCACGCGCGCACACGCACGCACACATTAAATATTTATTTGATTGTATTTATAAATACAGGTTTAAAGCTCAAAACAGCATAAAAGCAGATTGTTTGATAGCTTTGACAGGATTTACTGTATCACGAGCTGCTGAAGTAAAATCAAGAAAATATGCATTCAAAGTTTATCATACAGGAACAGTATTTTATTTTGCTGCAGATACAGAAGATTCTCTTGCCTTATGGGTAGATGCAGTTAATAAAGCAACTTTAGGTGCAGATGGTCATAGTAGAAATAGTGCTCTTTTTAGCGAAACTGACGAGAGCGATGGTGAACAAAAACATAAAGCTAAAAATGTTCAGACGCCCGAATATAAACCACATTTTGAAAAATCATTTGGATCATTAAAGAAAGTTGTTCGCAAAGATTCTTCTACATACAAGGACCATGAAATTAGTGGTGCTAGTTTAGACAGAAAATATTTAAAATTTCTTGGTACAAGAAATCACAATGTACCTGTCCCAACTGCACAATTTAGAAGTTACAGAAGAGTTCTTCCTACGTCTACGCCTAATAAGTAAAATTATTTAATATGGAATATAATAGAAGAAATAAGAATATAATATAAATCTTTTTTCAGAAAACAAGATTCTGTTCCAAATTCGCCAGATTTACAAATGACAATTGCAGGAAGTACATTTTACGGATTATGCGCATCTCATAGTGCTACTGATATGTCAAACAGTACTCAGGATATGGGTGATTACAGGCGTACTACGGACAGGTAACAATTTGTATTGCATGCCGTAATCCTTATTTTGCTGTATTTGAACATGATATATAATTTCTAGAAATTCTACTAGATTTAAATTATTATTGTCCTACTCTTTTTTGATCATAAACTAAGAAATGAATCGTTTTCTAAAAAAGATGATAATAGTTGAAAATATTGTTATACTTTAAAATTTATAATAAAACAACTAATTCAAAAGATTGATTAAATTTATTTTATATGTATATATTTCGTGCATGTCTTTCCTTATTTTAAGTACTTTCCTCTATACTATCCTTAATTGATTTGGAATACGCTTTACACATTTTTACATGTACCTCTATTTATTCTAATCAATGTAGTAAAGTAATTAGTGAAGCAATATTTAATATTTAGGTGTCTTAATAACAGAAATAGAAGACCTGAAGATCTACAAGGATTTATTACATTAGAAGAATTTATGTTGTCGCAACAAGAAGATCAAAGACAAATAACAAGGAACCGACCAGTATCACCGCGAATGACACCTTTAACTAGCGATCACGTTCATATTCAACATAGAAACTTTTATGATAATGACACAATTAATGAACAGTCCAGAACTATCGTTGATGTGGGTTACAATAATGATGTTCACGCTCGAAGTAGAAATAGCGATGAAGTTGTAAATAATACAGCATCATACAGTTATTCACGAAATATGGATAATTTTCATGCAGCGCGACAGTTTAGTGGAGATTTCGATTCGGAAAGAACTGAACATAAAGGAGAATCATCAAAATATTTAGTTCATAAAAAATCAAACGAATTGTGTTATGTTAGTAAAAAAAAATCGGTAGATGGATTAAATTCTCAACAAGTAAAGCCATGTAATTCACCTCACTGTAAAAATGTCGCAAATGAGCCAAAACCACTGTCTTCTTTGTATCATAATAAACCAGATATTGTTGAAAAGTCTGACAGACAAATGAGTATGATTTATGAATATAATACTAATGCTTATATAAATCAAGCACAAGCTTCAAATAGTCATGAAATTTCTAGACCATATGATTATTATTTACCTAAAAATATCAATTTAACGGAGGATATGAAACCAGTACCAAAACGGCTTGTTCGAAATGATGGTAAGATTTATTGCTTATGTTATACCTGCAATACATGGAATAAAGTTAATATAATTTTTTTGTTTGTTTCAGGTTCTTCTGGATCCAGCAATGATCTTACATTTCATGCTTCTTACGAAACTTTACAACATGCAAAGAAAAACGTATCTGTCAGTCGCAAAGGCAGCTTCAACCTAACAAATCGTCGCGATCATGTTTCTTCAGATAAGCATTGGTTAGATTCTTTGCGAAGGATTGATAAGAAAGATGTCAATTACGACAAAACTCGTTTAAAAAATGTAGCACAGTATCAACCACCGCCAATACCAACTTCTCCTTTCGAACAAGAGGGAATGACTGCTGCATTTGAAATGCATTTGGATAAAGGTGAACAAGTTCAAAAAACAAATCGTTTGAAAAATTTATTTGGTAATAAATGTCAGCAGAAACCTTCTACTCTTGAGATACCTAAGGAAACACAGAAAACTTTACTAGGTAAACAAATAATGTACAGTAGACTCCCGTATAACGCGAATTCCTATAACGCGCCAAAGATATCGCGACTACTGTTTTCATATAACACAATTCCTCATACAACGCGCTAAATAATAAAATACAGGAATTCCCCGCATTTAAAAATTAAATTTACTTAAGTTGAGCGTTACACTGCTTTCTTCATCGTTACCGACTTCTTCTGTTTTATAATTGTTTCTGTTTTTTGTTAATTGTTTGTTTATTACATACATTAGTAATGTTTTTTTAATCCAACAGCGAATATATGTCACTTATTTAAAAAAAAAACTATCCTATTTGATAGAACATAGAAAATAAAAGTTGACATGGCAATAATCATTCCAAACATGTTACTTTAGATTATTCGCGTTATACGAGAAAAATTCTCGTACAACACGATTTCCTATAACGCAAATTTATACAACGCGTAACGTATTAACCGCGTTATACGGCAGTCTACTGTACTTTAAATATCAACAAAAATTTACAGGTAATGTTTATTCATAATCTATATACTCTTTACAGGATCACCCAGATTACATAGAGCGTTATTTAGAGAGAAATGTTATAATCAGTCTCGATTACCTAACCGATCAAATAGTCAAAGTCCTGGCGACAGTGGAATCAGTCAATCTGTTAGTTCCTTCAGCGGAAATAGTCCTCAAACACTCAGTCAAAGTTTTAGTTCGGTCAGTTCGGTTAGTGACTGGAGTCCAGACACGCCATCACCGTGCGTTTCAAATTTAACATCAAAAGTATGTGCTCCAATAACTAAGAATTATCAATATTGTATTAGCTATTAAATATAATGATAAATATTTATTTTTAGGGTGGTACAAGTCACTCCTTTTCTCAAAAGGGGCATACAGTTATGGGCAGAAATTCATTAACACCTCCAACGTTACCTTATATACCACCACCTACATCACCACCACCTGATTATCCCGGTCTTGAATATCCGCCAGTATTTGAACCTGGTACTTATTCTCTCTTGGATGCATCGTTACTGCGTAATCGTAATAAAAGCAGTCGGGACACTCATTAACCATTGATACAACGTAGTTCGTTGATCTGCACAATAATAACCAAAGATAACGTATTTCCTTAACCATTTATCTAATCAGATATTTTATATAAGGAATTCAAGAATTTAATAATATTTTTCTTAAAGTATTGAAATTTAGCCGTCCATTTAATAAAAAGCAGAAGATTATCAAAATCTTTTTATATAAATTAAAATTTTAAGCTATCCACTTAATAATAATTGAGTAAACAACTGAAATTAATATAAAAACTATTTGTATTAAATTTGAAAAAATTTCATTTTGTTATTATTATTTGTAATTGATGTTAACATAAATCAACAAACTGAAACTTTCCACTGTACCCTCCAAAATGTTTTACAAAAGTATTATATAAACTAAATGTTTGTTGTACATGAATTACGCAAACTTACCAGCAATGAAGAAATAGGTCTATGCATGAAATATTACAAAACAGTTCTTATACATAAAAGATTAAAGATTTAATGAAAATTTTAGTAGAACAGTTGTTTGCACTAAAAGGTCAGTTTCTAATTTTGTGATGCTTACTTCATTTTAATATTACATATGTATACATACATAAAATTAAACTAAAAAATAGTTCTAAATATATGGAAAAGTGCTCTTGATGATTACTAGAACACACAAATAATATAAATTGCATTTTTATAAAATATAGCAAAATTGCGTTATACTTTTTTAAACATATACAGTCGGTCACAAAAAGATTCAGACACTATTTAGAACATTATAACTTTTTTAAAATTGGATCAAACGACTTAAGTTTTTTTGAGAAGTTAGAAGCATTAGTATACTAGGTGACGTGTCCAAAAAATTTTGAAAAAATTACAATTTGTGGGAATTGCGAAGAAAATTGTAAAGGTCAAAGTTTACAATTTCTTTATCTGAGTTTGTAATGAAAATTTAAAACATACGTTTTGTAGATTTATGTCACTTATATACATACTAAAACGTTTATTTAAATCGGTTGATGGAGAAACAAGCGACAAACATTGAAAGATGTCAAAATCTTCAGGTTTACTACTTATAGATCAAAAGTCATGGATTAGTGCGATTTTCACAATTTTTAATCGCTTGTAGCTCGTGGCAATATTAACCGATTTTAATGAAATTTTCATTCATAGTAACATTAACCGATTTAAATGAACTTTTTAGCATGTATATAAGTGATATAAATCTACAAAACGTATGTTTTAAATTTTCATTACAAACTCAGATAAAAAAATTGTAAATAGTGACCTTTACAATTTTCTTCATGATTCTCACAGATTGCAATTTTTTCAAAATTTTTTGGACACGTCATCTAATATACTAATCCTTCTAACTTCTCAAAAAAACTCATGTCATTTGGTCCAATTAAAAGAGTTATAATGTTCTAAATAGTGTCTGAATCGTTTTGTGACCGACTGTGTATATATATATGTATATATGATGTATATCATGTATTCATATATTTATATACAATGTGATGATGTGTAAAGTGCCTACGTGTCTTTTTTATATAATTTTTGTATATAAGTAAATCCATATTTTAGCTATTAATGTCATTTGAGGTGCATGATTTTATTATAATTTATGCTCAAGAAATTTTTAAAAAGTATTATAAAATTAAAATTATTGTAATAATAAATTATGTACTTTC